TTGTAATATGTCTAAAAGATTTTTTTTTTGAAATATAAGAATTCCTTTCTCAAAAAGTGCTGGTTATATTAGTTTGATAATGGTTGTCTTCCAATAACATATGCTAAATTGCTATTTATGCTTCAAACAAGACATCATCGATTGTTATGAAAAATTGATTTTCCCACACTAAAGGAAAATGTAAATATTTGAATAAAGGTTTATATTAGCAAATAAAACTGATTTTGAAAAAAATTCTTATAGAATGTAAACTAATTTTCAAACCATTTAAATAATTAATTTATTATCTTTGAAATTTTAATAACCAAAAAATGAATCTCAAATAGAATTTAATTTATTGAAGGCAAATAATTTTATGAAAGCAAAGTCTATTAGGATTAATTCGATTACTAACAGTATTATATTTCGATCTCTAAATAAGTAAAAAAATATTTCATTCTTTTGATCCCTTTATATATTAATGAGAAACCCAATGAATTCATATGGAAAGGTAGAATATAGACGCTTAATATAGAACAAAGGATTTTAAATGATAAAAAATTGTAGATTATTCGATTCTTAGTTTCCAAATTTGAGTTTAATTTTAAAGTTTTACCTTGCTTATACTCTAGGCTTAAAAAGAGATATAAATTTCAGTTACTATGATTATGATTTCCAAAGTAGGCTATAATTAATGATTTTACATTTTATGATATGGATACAATCATCTCATAAGAAAGAATGCTTAGGAAGGTCAATCTATAAATTTTAATACTGTAATTCATGGAGCGAAATCACTTAGAAGCAAAATTTACATCTCAATTAATTGAATTATTTGTCTCAGAATTTTCAAGTATACCTTAAACAAAAGGACGTAAACTGCAAACTACAAAGTGTGTTTGATTCAAAAATTTTAATTTATTATTTTTTAGCTTCAAAAGGTCTGAAAGGTTTTTGAAACAGTCTTTTAGACTTTTAATCAAAATCATGCTAAAATCTCAAAAGATAGTTTGATTCCTTATTTTAGTACTTATAATGTATTAAAGTCCTTTCAACAAATTCAATACTCATCTTCATCAATAATTGATATAATATTATTAAATGAAAATTTAATGAAAAAATATATAAACTAATTAAAATGTGTGATCAGTTTGAAGCATCAATCAATATTAATATCGTTTTTAAGAAATTTAATATTCTAAATTTTCAAAGTTTATTCATAAAATCAGATCAAATTACATATAAGATTCAAATAGATATAAATGCTTAAGATGATTATTTTTAAAATTATAAATTGTATNTTTGAAATATAAGAATTCCTTTCTCAAAAAGTGCTGGTTATATTAGTTTGATAATGGTTGTCTTCCAATAACATATGCTAAATTGCTATTTATGCTTCAAACAAGACATCATCGATTGTTATGAAAAATTGATTTTCCCACACTAAAGGAAAATGTAAATATTTGAATAAAGGTTTATATTAGCAAATAAAACTGATTTTGAAAAAAATTCTTATAGAATGTAAACTAATTTTCAAACCATTTAAATAATTAATTTATTATCTTTGAAATTTTAATAACCAAAAAATGAATCTCAAATAGAATTTAATTTATTGAAGGCAAATAATTTTATGAAAGCAAAGTCTATTAGGATTAATTCGATTACTAACAGTATTATATTTCGATCTCTAAATAAGTAAAAAAATATTTCATTCTTTTGATCCCTTTATATATTAATGAGAAACCCAATGAATTCATATGGAAAGGTAGAATATAGACGCTTAATATAGAACAAAGGATTTTAAATGATAAAAAATTGTAGATTATTCGATTCTTAGTTTCCAAATTTGAGTTTAATTTTAAAGTTTTACCTTGCTTATACTCTAGGCTTAAAAAGAGATATAAATTTCAGTTACTATGATTATGATTTCCAAAGTAGGCTATAATTAATGATTTTACATTTTATGATATGGATACAATCATCTCATAAGAAAGAATGCTTAGGAAGGTCAATCTATAAATTTTAATACTGTAATTCATGGAGCGAAATCACTTAGAAGCAAAATTTACATCTCAATTAATTGAATTATTTGTCTCAGAATTTTCAAGTATACCTTAAACAAAAGGACGTAAACTGCAAACTACAAAGTGTGTTTGATTCAAAAATTTTAATTTATTATTTTTTAGCTTCAAAAGGTCTGAAAGGTTTTTGAAACAGTCTTTTAGACTTTTAATCAAAATCATGCTAAAATCTCAAAAGATAGTTTGATTCCTTATTTTAGTACTTATAATGTATTAAAGTCCTTTCAACAAATTCAATACTCATCTTCATCAATAATTGATATAATATTATTAAATGAAAATTTAATGAAAAAATATATAAACTAATTAAAATGTGTGATCAGTTTGAAGCATCAATCAATATTAATATCGTTTTTAAGAAATTTAATATTCTAAATTTTCAAAGTTTATTCATAAAATCAGATCAAATTACATATAAGATTCAAATAGATATAAATGCTTAAGATGATTATTTTTAAAATTATAAATTGTATAATTTTTGAATTAATTACTCTACAAAATAGAATATACATCATTTATCAAGGAGTTGAAAAGCAGATATAGCTGAGATTGAAGCATAAAAGTTGCACATGAAACACACCTCAAGAGATGCATGAAAAAAACTTTAGGTAGTTATCTTTTGGTTTCTCTCTTTGAAACTATTAACAAGATAAACTAAAACGGTACAAATAGTTTATTTTTTGGTGTATTCTAATGAAAGAGGCATTGAAAAGATAATTATAAGCATAATGACCTTCTTGAATGGTAAAAAAAATTTGTAGTTGAAAATGTGACTTTTACCAGGGAAGATCTTAATACAATAGAGTGATAGCAGTTTTATGAACTCATTCTGTCATTTACAGGACTCATCATTCTTAACATTACTCTTATTTATCTCTTAGAATTTGGAATAATAATAGACAATTCAGTCTCAAGGAGGGATAGACTTTTTTCGGGCAACTATAATCATATCGTTTCAAACCTAGGCTAGCATTATTTTCCTAGCCTTTAGCGTAGAATTTTTGCCCTTGAAATTTTTTACAATTGATAGCAAATAAAAAGGTGAAATTTGCCTCTTCCCCATTTTACTTACTCTTAATCTAAAAGTACTTTTTCCAGTTACTTTATAATTACTCTCTACTGAGCCTAAGAATCCTTGATAAGGTTGACTAAACTTTAAGAAAAGGTTGCTTTATGATAGTTTCTTTAAATTAATGAGCATACTGATTAACATTAAACTATATTCTTATCCCTTTTTTTATAAACAAATTATTCTTTAGGTTGTTGAGATTTAAGCTATGGTCCATAAAGATGGCATTGTTTTAAATTATCTTCATATCTACTTCCTCAAAAAAAAATTACTAATAAGAAATCCAACCGTTTGTTGAATGTTGTTATCTTAAATTCAATAGGGCTGATTAAATACCTTGGTTAAGATCTAATTATTTAACCAAGTTGATTTCGTTCAAAATTAAATTCAAAAGAAATGATACTTATGTATTTTTGAAGATAAATGCAAAATATTTAACATTTTAAACACCTATTAAAAGTTAGCAAAAGTAGTACTAACTTATAAAAAATCGCTTTTCAAAATCGTTATAAAAACAAGAATTATTCCTCAATTTCAGAGAGCAATCTATAAACTACTTGTGCAATTAATTAGTAAGTAACAATATCCATAGTAGCTGTTGCATATTGATGATAGATTCAAAAATAACAGTGAAATGATTTGTTGAATTAGAGAAAATCATTCCATTAAGACATTTTAAATGAGTATTTCTACAATTTAGCTTCAGAAAATCTTTTGATATCTCAAGTAAAAATAGTTTTTCTAAAGTTTTCACATAGCTATTTTTATGATTATGAAGCATTAAATATCTCCTTACAAAGTTGATTTCATATAGCACAATGTAATAAACGATGAAGGTATTTTGATCTCCAAAACTAATATCGATCTAATCTCTGAATTTGAATGATTCCTTTTTAGAATTATTCTACTTGTAAAATAAAATAAAATGAGCAAGCTTCCTTAATATTCCATTAAAGATTATAAAGAAACTTGTTTATCCTCTTATCTAAATCTGCTCTTGATTTAAATAATTAATTCTCTTAGAAAAAATGCAGGCTAAAGATATTATTAAATTTATATTATGATAAAAGCCAATATTATGCGTAAATGAGTTTCTTTTTAATTATAGAAGGGACTTACCCTACAAAAATTTGAATCTATAACTTAAGAAATTCTTGGTTCATTAGTAATCATTGATGATAATTAGAATCTTTTAGATATCAATTTTGAATAATTCTGGGAATAAGATAGGCTTTTACAAAAATTTGCATCGTAAATTGTTTAACAACTTATTCACTCAAAAATGAACTTATGAGTTGTTTAATACAAAATTTTACGAAATAATATGTGTAACTTCAATAAAGAATAATTTGATTTGATTAAAGTTATGATTATTTTTTGACTCTAATATCTTGGTTTTAACTCATAATCGATTAAATGTTTAGGCTAAGCGAACATTTATCTCTCAAATATTTAGTAATTAGCCAACAATCTTCTCATTATAATGTATTGAACTATAAATAATTCCTCTCTAAGCTAGAAATCAGATCTTGTGAACAATAGTCAAAATATATTAATTTAATCTTTTCTTTCTAAGGAATTTCATAAACATATTTTAGATATATTTACCAAATGGTATTGATTAGCAATTAATTATATATGATTTAAATTTATAAACCATCAAATTGTAAACTTGTATTAGAAAAATATTAGAAATTAAATATTTATCATACATATAAATTATATATAAATTAATAAAATTAATTGAATTTCACCTTCAAAACTATTTTGATAATTAATTTATTAATATTTTAAATGCATCTTCTCTCTGTATAAACCGATTTATAGTATAATTTATAATTTTCTATTTCGATTTACTAATAACTCATGTTCTAAATCTCAATTCTCTTGTCATACTTCTCATATTACAAAAAATCAAATCATGCTGTATCAACTTAAAAATAATGTATCTTATCAGCTATTTCTGTTACCTTAGAGAAAATCAATTCTTGATAGAGGTATATAGAAATGCCTTCACTTGTATATAATTTAGTGTTGGCTATGCTAAAACACTTCTTGAATTTCTAATTTACTAGAAAGATACTGAGTGTATTGCATTCGATACTAGTGATGGATATTAAATATTCTCTTATTGAAATTACTCTATAAATAGTTGAATACCTTATTTCTGAAGCAAAAAGCCTATAAAAATATCTGACAATTTAATATTTTCAGCCTTCCTAGTGTATTAAGACGAGTATCTGATACAATTTGTACACTATACGCGAATATCTATGCTGAGAATATTGTTCATTTTTTGCTAGGCTCCTTAGAATGAAGAACTATAGATTGGGATACCCTGTTGGAACTAGTTGTTCATAATATGATGCTTGTTCTTTGAGTTTTTGCACTGCCGACAGTGTAGATGCTATAATTGATGAAAATATACAGATTCTTCTTGTGCTTTAATATCTTATGATCAAGGACATTTAACTACTTATTTGAACGGCAACCTAAAACAATAAACAACAGAAAGGTTATGATATTGCTCTCCTATTAAATTGTAATTCCTCTGTCTATCTACTATAATACAGCTAACATAGTCCGACTCTACTTATTTCTCCTGTATCCATCATATAAACCATCTCATCCATGCAATTAATTTAGCTTAGTCTTTATGCATTGAAAATCTTATTACAAATGCAGCCACTCCTTATCTTCAGTTGGAATTATTGTAAATGTTTCTTGATATTATTATGACACATCTCTAAATTCTACTGTTTTTCTTCATGGTCTACTTTATTAGGCTCTTATAACCTTTCAAGGATTAGATGAATACAGTCCAGAGAATTAACATATATATCACACTAAAGCTTTACAAAAATAAAAGCAGCCATCGAGGCAATATTTCAAGGATCATTCAATACAATTCTCTTGTATAGGATAGAGAGTTGATTACTCTATTAGTTAACCAAAGTAGGGATAATTAAAAATTTAAGTCCATACTATATAAATTACAAAAGACTTTGAACTAATTCTGTAAAAAGTTACATGAGAGATCATTAGATGAATAGCCCCATAGAGTTAATTTGTAGCATAAGCGTGGTATGTTCGATATTGTTCCACATTCACAAAAAAATTTTACAATTGTGTATTATAATGTAGCCTTTATGGTATACAGTCTTTGAGCATATGATCATTTTGTGCTGGTTGGAGATAATAAGTAGGTCGCGATGAAATGAAGAAAGCGAAAAAGGTAAAGTGACAATAATTTGGAACAATTTCAAAGAAATGGCATACAATCGCTTTATATATTCATTAGAATTTGGAAAATGGTTTAAAATAAAAGCATTAAATTCTTAAAGAAAAAAAAATAATAGAAAATATTAAAATCAAATATTTACTAACTATGTCAGTCCAAATAGTTATATTTAAAGCCTTAAGAGTTACCCTCATTAATTCAAGATATATGAACAAGATATTTTAGGACATACTGATAAGTGTGCTGCAATTATATCGTTTAATTTACCTGTAGCACTAGGTGAGCAAATGTAAAATTTACTTGTTTTCCTATCCGCACTTAGATAACACCAAAACCTTCAAAGGTTGTTCATTAAATGTACCTTTATAAGAGACAATATATAACAATCCTTTAACAAAAGTTTGATATTTAACATAGTCACCTTTAACACAACTTTATTGCCATACAATAATATAAATTATATTTAAAATGGATATTTATGTATATTTACAATCAAATAAAGTGAACTTAATGCAAATTAACAAAGAATCTACAATCTAATTATTATATTCAGGAGCTGCATTATGATAGATAGATTATTAGAGTATCTTGGAAAAAGAACATTTGATGCTTGTCCCAATTTTTATGGAAAGTTGTATTTATAAAGACAATTTAAGCAATAATAATGATTGTCCAGAACCAACCAAAAACCTCAAAATATGTTATTCTGTGTAAATCAGAAGAAGCCCGTACCATTCCTTAATGTTAGGTGAAGTAGGAACCGCAAGAAGTTTAACATGAATGATAAAAAACATTTTAGGAGTTTCATATATCAATATTTCGTGAAGAGCAGCTTAGCATCATACAGCACATTTAAGAAGTGAGATTTGCAAATTCTACATCGATATTCGTAAATAGAGCTTAGAATGTCGAATCATAGTGGCTAATATAATGTAGGAAAATACAGATTGTAGTCAATCTCCAAAATTTCCTTTATACATGGACTATCTCTCTTATTGCAGATTGTCCGATACAAATTAATTAGCAGAAGCGTGATGTCTCCTATTCATAAGCAAGAGGAATCTCAAAATCTGATTATAATTTAACCTGCCAAAATATTTTAGCAGGCTAAAACATTCTTAGCCACCATAATGAGCATTGATATCCCTATTTTATGATCTAAGATTTACAATTACAAATGTAACTATGAGCATTTAATGTATTGGTCATCCATTGGAAGAAACATAAGGAATCGATGTTTTTCCAAAATAAAAAATTTAAAGGTTGAATAATACCCATATTTTGGAATTAAATTTATGGTGATAATGGATTAATAAAATGATTAAATGGGATTTTTGGAATCTTTTTCTTTAACCTCATAATAGTTATATGGGAAATATAAAGGTTGAATCAGTTATTCCTTATCAAATGAAAACCAAAAATACATTAAATGTTGAAGCAAAAACTAATTCAAAAATGAAGAATTTAACAAGAAAATCTTTAATATCTGATAATTACGATAGTGCAAATATTGTAAATGACTGAATTATAGGTATTGAAAGAGAAATTAATTGCCTAGAGCTTATGTAAAATAAAGAGAATTTATTTTATTTATTATGACAAAAAATAGCCAAATAGTATGTTGCAAAAGAACTTAAAATGTCCAGTCCCTTCGAAAACATTATTGGCGATGTGTCCATATTCTCTTTAAATAATTGATCAAGAAATTTTAAAAGCAGAAAATTTATTAATTAAGCTTAAGTAATTTAATAGAAATATTTTTTATAATACATAAAGTGGCACCTTATTTAAGCAGACTATGCTGTTTATATGTATTATTTCAAATTTGATACCTTTTTAATGTTGTTTTGTTGTACAAATTCATTTAGATAATAGATCATGGATTTATATTTAATAATCCAATGAAAAAGTAAAAAATATTCATAAATTAAGAATTATTAAGTATATCTTTTAAAGCAATTCAAGACTGTTCAAATATTTATAAGTATCTAGAATACTTAGTGAAAATAAATTATTCTAATATCAACAAACTTTACCTACTGGTTTTGTAACATATCTCTCAAATACATATTTCAGTACAGATTGATTTATATTAAAGGCAATACAATGAGTGTATTTTATATACACTTCTTTAAATTATATCAAATTTATTATATTATACAATTATTGATTTCGGCGATAATTTGTAATTAATTACATTTTTGAAATTCATATCACATGCATTTACTGCTAATTTCTAGAGGAAGATTGCGCATATACCATAAAAAATGTAAAATAAGTCTAAGATTGATTACATAGGCTGGTATCTTTTGAGTGGTTTAAAATTTATTTTAATGATTTAATAATATTCACTAAATTATACATAATAGAAGATATCGTTCTCTGGAGGTGTGGTGATGTATATTCAGTAGAAAAGAAGCAAGAACTATTAAAATTTCAAGTAATATTTTCCATTTAAGTTTCATTTACATTAGAAAAATTATTTAAAATTTAAATATGTTAGAAAAATTTTTGAAAACAGTTCAATAAGTTAAGGAATTGGGTTAAAATTTTTATTCTACTCGCTGAACATTTAGTAAGCAATGAATGAATATTTTGACAGTACCAAAGTATTTGATAAATTAGTGTATGTAAAATTCTGTTGATCATAAATATATTTAGATTATGTTGAATAATACAAATAATTAGTTCATGTATTGGAATGTTTAACTCTTGTGATAAGTGAAAGTGTTTTCGTATATGTGCAGTATTTGAATTATTTTTTAAAACACAATCTAACACTATAATTATAATCCAAATCAATCCATATACCAACCTTAAATGCTTGTATGATCCACCTTTACTTGTTCACTATGTAAGGCATTATTACATTTACAATCCTTCATATTCAATATACCATTATAAATTACTTCCTTTAATATTAAATCCATCAACTCATTCAAACCGAATGGCAACCTTCAGTACTTAAACTTCTTCTTCGTATTATCCTCCGCCACTTTAAAAAATTATTATATAATCTACTTTATTTTGAAAAGTTTGTCTTACATTAAATGTCCAGAGTTTCCCAAATACTAAGTTTTTTCATATTAAATGCTAAAATCCTTCATCCAACTCAATTCACTTGCTAATCTTAATTACCAAAAATTCTTCATCATTGGATCCCCTATTACTATGGCCATCTTATGTAATATTTTTATATTTTAAATCTTTAAAATTTGAAATCCCACTTCCCAACCTTTTTTTTCTATTTTTAAATAGACCATCAAATAATTTACTCAATATTGCAATATAAAAATATACCTTTGCTTTCATTAACAAATAAATCATTTATAGTTGACAATAAATTTTATCCCAAACCATAGTTCAAAAGTTCCTTGTGGACTTTTTTAAATTCGACCTTGGTAAGTTAAAAGCTTTTAAATTTACCTTTTAATAGATTTTAACTTTGTAAAATATTCAAAAAGTACTATTTATTTTAGGCATTACTACATAAGACCTCGATTTAATTTATAATACATAATTTTCTTATTAAGATTTTGGAAAATATTAGTATTTTCCAATTATATATATTAATATCAGAAAAACTAATTTTGATATTTATCGAACTCAAAGATTTTTCATAACATTTATGTAGATGAAATTGATAGATGTAAAATTAAATTAACTCTAGAATATAGATAATTTTTAAATTTTATGCAGTAAATATCATTTCTTGGACTAATTATATTAATAAATTACGAAAAATGATTTATTATCTTTAGTCAGACTTTCAATATGCATTTAAGGTAAATCATATAATAGAATAAAATATCAATACATATAAAGTCATAAGGTAAGATACTAAATGAGATTGTTATTTTTATTTTTGATAATATCAAAATTGCTTTTTCACTTTATTTTCTAATATATATAACAACCAAGCTAATTTATGTATTTATAAATATTATAATATACATTATAAGTTAATACTTTCAGCAGAAATTAAGTGTTTGTTTTCTTATGTAAGGTGATAAATTCAATTCTAGAATCAATTATTTGAATTATAAAACATTGTTATTTGGTAAAAGCTTAACTCAAGTTAAATAAAGACTTATTCATTTGGTAAATTAAAAGTAATCTTTCAACAAGTGTAAATAACTGGTTGATATTAAATTGAGCAACTCTTTAATTACAAGATTGAATAAAAATTTGGTGGTTGCATTTTATTTGAAAGATAAAATGTTAAAATATCCTTTTTACTATTTTAAAGCTCAACTTTAAAGAATTTTGATAGATAAATAATTTATTAATATTCAATTTTCATTCTAAATATATGTATTGTTTATTCATATTTCATGATATTTTCTGATTTGAATTTCTTTTGAAATATCATCCCAAGTCATCAAAAATTATCCGTCATCACTCAAATGTCCAAATAAATAGGCACATCCAAATTGAATTGATTATTATATGTTAAACTCTTGGTTTTCATTTGTCTTTATCAAATTCACATAAATGCCATTCTTATTAACAAGCAGCCATTTTGATTTTATATGCTATTACGGAAACAATGAATAACCATCCTTACTATATTTTACAAGAACATCTTTAGTCTTTAAATACTATTTATTTGTATCATTTATTTCATAAACATGCATTTATTCGCTTGAATCTGGCTAAAATGTAAAAACATTATCATTAATAAAGCATAATCTAGAACCATTAGTTTCAACTTTTATCTTTTAGATTACAATCCATTAAGAATCCTATTATGATTGTTCAATTATTAATATTTATTTATCATATCCACATGAAATCACTTTGTTCTATTGCTAATTCAAACTTAATCCATAGATAGTGCCAGTATGATCTGTTATAGTCTATTAGCATAACCATCCATTTTTGTTCATCCAAAATTTTATAGTTTTATCACAACTTCCTGAAATGATTAAATCTTCATTATTATTTAACACTAAACAATAAATACCTTTTGTATGTTCATTTAATTTTTATTAGCAAACCCATTAATTACTTTGGTTCATGGACCATATTATAATTAAATTATCATCACTTCCAGATATAAATTAATTAGATTTCTTCATGAAGTTTAATGTACACACACCTTTTGTATGCTCACTTAAAAGTTGAGCCTGTGTCAATANAACTCTAGAATATATAGGATTCTATAATTTTATGCAGTAAATATCATTTCTTGAACTAATTATATTAATAAATTACGAAAAAATGATTCATTATCTTTAGTCAGAATTTCAAAATGCATTTAAGGTAAATCTTATAATAGGAATAAAATATCAATACATATAAAGTCATAAGGTAAGATAATAAATGAGTTTTTTATTTTTGATAATATCAAAATTGCTTTTTCACTTTATTTTCTAATATATATAATAACCAAGCTAATTTATGTATTTATAAATATTAGAATAAGCATTATAAGTTAAGAAATTAAGCAGAAATTAAGTGTTTGTTTTCTTATCTTAGGTGATAAATTCAATTCTAGAATCAATTATTTGAATTATAAAACATTGTTATTTGGTACAAGCTTAACTCAAGTTAAATAACGACTTATTCATTTGGTAAATTAAAAGTAATCTTTCAACAAGTGTAAATAACTGGTTGATATAAATTGAGCAACTCTTTAATTACAAGATTGAATAAAAATTTGGTGGTTTGCATTTTATTTGAAAGATAAAATGTTAAAATATCCTTTTTAATCAACTTTGAAGAATTTTGATTATTAAATAATTTATTAATATTTAATTTTTATTCTAAATATGTGTATTGTTTATTCATATTTCATGATATTTTCTGATTTGAATTTCTTTTGAAATATCATCCCATGTCATCAAAAATTATCCGTCATCACTCAAATGTCCAAATAAATAAGCACTTCCAAATTGAATTGATTATTATATGCTAAACTCTTGATTTTCATTTGTCTTTATCAAATTCACATAAATGCCATTCTTATTAACAAGCAGCCATTTTGATTTTATATGCTATTACGGAAACAATGAATAACCATCCTTACTATATTTTACAAGAACATCTTTAGTCTTTAAATACTATTTATTTGTATCATTTATTTCATAAACATGCATTTATTCGCTTGAATCTGGCTAAAATGTAAAAACATTATCATTAATAAAGCATAATCTAGAACCATTAGTTTCAACTTTTATCTTTTAGATTACAATCCATTAAGAATCCTATTATGATTGTTCAATTATTAATATTTATTTATCATATCCACATGAAATCACTTTGTTCTATTGCTAATTCAAACTTAATCCATAGATAGTGCCAGTATGATCTGTTATAGTCTATTAGCATAACCATCCATTCTTGTTCATCCAAAATTTAATAGTTTTATCACAACTTCCTGAAATGATTAAATCTTCATTATTATTTAACACTAAACAATAAATACCTTTTGTATGTTCATTTAATTTTTATTAGCAAACCCATTAATTACTTTGGTTCATGGACCATATTATAATTAAATTATCATCACTTCCAGATATAAATTAATTAGATTTCTTCATGAAGTTTAATGTACACACGCCTTTTGTATGCTCACTTAAAAGTTGAGCCTGTGTCAATACATCTTATTTGAATTCAAATACTTTAATTTCAGTTTTGCATCCAGCTACTACAATTGAACAATCACTATTAGTAGCTATTGCAACGCAAGGTTCTTGTTATTTGATTGAATTTTGGACTAATTCGTATTAGAATTAGTTTTATATTTATTAAGGAGATTATTGAACAATTAATTCTTTTGCTTATGTTTACTTAAGTTATTCAATTTATAATTAATGAGATTATAATTATTAATCTTTGATTTTTATTGTCTCATTTAATTGCTGTTTTTTAATCTTCTATTTTTAAAAGTTTTCATATAATTATTAATACTCAATACTTTAAACCTTTATTTAATTATCAATCGAAATTTTTATTGAAGATGTTACTTAATTAGTCAATTATATAACAAATTATGAATTATCGATATGTAATAATTACAATATATGTAATGATTCATTCTATTCAACAACTCTCAACTTTTAACACTTTAGCTTCTTTTAATTCAATGACCTTTCATTATCAACAACTATTTAATCAAGGAAATCATCGATTCTTTTAAAAGACAACTAAATGACTTAAATACAAATTATTTACCTCCATTTCTAATTGAATACCTTTAAAACATTCTTCCATTATAAGATTTTTATTGCTTGAAGCTGAAAATTAGAATTTGTGCATATTATTTATTAAATACTTTGAATTATTATTTTTTAAATATTTAAACTACAAAGATAACAAGTGCGTTAAATATTTTTAATAATTGTATATTGATACACTTAAATTGTGATAGATTTATTTTCTTTTTCTTTTATTTATTAATCAAAGTCACCAAATTTCAATTAAAGTAAATTATAATAGTCAAATAATCAAATGAAACAGGAAAAAAACGATATAGATATTATATGTTGGATATTCAACATTATGGAAAATAAAACATTATATAAAATTAACGAATTGAT